CTGTGGGAGAAGGCGAGGGTGGGATGTTTCAAGAGAACAGCATCGAAACATGTATATTATCTAGGGTGAAACAGATCACCAGCCCAGGTTGGATGCATGAGACAAGTGCTCGGGCCTGGCGCACTGGGAAGACCCAGAGGGATGGGGTGGAGAGGGAGGTGGGAGGGGGGATCAGGATGGGGAATACATGTATATCCATGGCTGATTCATGTCAATGTATGACAAAAACCACTACAATATTAAAGTAATTCGCCTCCAACTAATAAAAAATTTTAAAAAATTAAAAAAAAAAAGAAAGATACCTGCAGAGTAGCAGAATACTTGAAAAAGTCTGAAGTAATATTGATATATAGAAAATATTGTTGAACTTGTAACTCCATATTTTCTTAATTAAAATTTATTTTTTACTTTGAAATAATTTTAACCTTACAGACATGTTGGTGGAACAGTAAAAAGAACTTCCAATTTCAACAGTTGTTAATGTTTACTTACATTTCTCTCCCTCCCCCTCTCGATCTCTTATGTTTTTCTCCCTGAATTATTTGACTATTATATGCAGACATGATGCCCTGATACTTAGGTGTTTTTCTAAAAGAAAAGGACACACTCCTATACACACTCAGTTGACCCTTCAGGGCTCAGGATAAATTTTGCCAAAATCTGATTCTGAATCCTATCACATCTGTGCTTACCTGAACACACTGCACTGTAATTGCTTATTTCTTGTTTTCTTTTTGTTTAGAGTGTGAACTCTTTGAGGACAGATAGCATTCATTTTGTTTACCATCAGAGTAGTGTGTGTGTGTGTATTTGCTGACTGAATGAGCAGATAAATGAAGGTACAAAATGTTAAAACACTAGGGAGGAGGGAGCCATAGATGATGATTCATGTGGAAATTCACTATCTCGAGTGATGCTCTGTTAATATCTTGAACTGAATTGATTTTCTTTTAAAAAGAAGTGTCAACTTACACCACTTCCAGTGGTGTCAACTTACATGTGAGACGTGCCAACATGGGGGCCCTCTGCATCTCCTCCTGTATCTTAAGTGTGATTTCTGCTGATCAGAAAGAACTCTACCAAGCAGAGAGATATATACCCTCAATTTATTCCATGGTTGTGTTAAGTGTCCATATGTTTGTAAAGCATAGATTTAAATCTCATGAGTTCTGCAATTGTGTCATAAATTTCTGGCTGCCCTCAAATGCATATGGTCCCAGAAGATGTAATACAGTTTTCACAGGCACCATCTCAAGCTACACCATTCCTTGGAAAAAGTGTGTGTGCATTTTTTTTCAACAACCTGGATCTATAATGACATGAACCAAGAGATCAAATAAGAAATTTGGTTTTCAAATGAACCTGACAACTGTTTTCCTTTGACAATAGAACTATGCAAACATCATCTATGCAGCCCACATTCTGCTTCTTGTGATCAATACTTGATTGCTGAGACTGAAAAGTCAACTCTCCTCATCCTCTCCTCTGACTCCCACCAACTTCAATTCTCTTTCTTCTCCATCCTCACTGACCCTCCAAGGACAGCAAACACAGGCCCTGGAAGGTTTGGGACTCTAGCACTAGTAACTTTAAAATAACACTGCAGTGGGACTTCACTGGTGGTTAAGTGGTTAAGATTCAGTGTTTCCAATGCAGGGGGCATGGGTTTGATCCTTGGTCAGGGAACTGAGATCCTATATGCCATAGTGTGGCCAAGAAACAAAAATAAATAAATAAATAATTTAAATAATTCTACCTGTTTAAAAAATAAATAAAATAAAACAGCAGTTTCCTCACCAACACACTGACAACATATTCATGACATACGACACTCATCCCCTGTGATTCTGGTGCCACCTTGTTTCCACCCACTACTGGCCCTGTCCTTTGTAGCAGCCTCATTCCAATCCAGCCAATCCCCCGGACCACCTTGCCATGGTCCCATCGTCCACTGTGCTATTGGAAATGTGATCTTATTTTAGGTAACAGTCTCTCCTTGGTGTTATTCCTTGGGTACAGGAGCATGAGAAAATGAAGCCTAAATGTTTGCTGACTAGACACACTGGCCGGGAGGGCCGTTGTCTTGGAAACCAATCCAAAACTACATGTGGAAGACTGCTTCCTTCCTGAAGCGCGCTCTTCCCCGGCTCTTTGACCTGCATTCTTTGGGTCTCCACCCTCCACCCCACCCCACTCGGCTCTGTAGGCCTCTCCTCTTCTTCCTGAGATCCTCAGAGACACGGTCTGGGCCCCTTATGTTCTCACACTGAAACTTGTCACTTTCAGCCCTTAATTATTACTTTGGATCCAACTCCTCCTTTGCACTCAAGGCCCCCAGCCTCCCGTTTCCTGATGAAACCTCTCCCTAGCCAGTTTCTTATATGACAGTAGCTTTTGGATGTCCCATGCTCCTCAGACTTCATTTGACTGAGAAAGAAGCTAAGAATCTCTACTGGACTCAACCAGGAAACACACACAACTGCCTCCTCCTCCTCATTAAAGGCTAGATTCTACTCATCTCCAAATCTCACATAAAAAAAAAAAAACCAAGTCTGGGAATCCTACCTTTTTGCTATTTCTGAAATTTATCATTTTCTGTCCTTTCTTACTGACATCGTATTGTGTATTGATCTCAACCACCATAATCTGTTTCTCAGTTTCTCTTAGGGCTGAAGTTACAAAGATAGTAAGACAGACAAGGTCTATCTTTTTTAAAACTGGGGTATAATTGCTTTACAATTAGTTATTTTCTGCTGTATACAACAAAGTGAATCAGCTATATGTATACATACATGTATTCTCTCCATCTGGGACCTCCCTCTTACCCCTCATCCCCCTCTAAGTCATCACAGAGCACTGAACTGAGTTCCCTGTGCTACTGGAACCAACATTCAAGCGGGGGGAAATAGACAGCAAAAGTAATCACATAAATAAAGGTAATTTAAGAGAACTGCAATAATGAAACCTCTATAGGGTCATGGGAAAGGGACAGTGTGAAGGGGGCTGTTCTTCAGTCCGTGACGGCCTCTCTGAGGGTGTGATACAAGGACCATCTCAGGCCACTTTCTTACTTGCCCATCATTCTTCATGTTTCTTCCTCTAGTTCTTGGCAAAGAGACCAATGGACAAGCTCCATCCTGTCTCAGCAGCTTTGAACTCCCTGTTACTTCTGTCTGAAACACTCCTTCCTTTATGGAACCCCTGTTAAATCCTTCAGACTTCAGCTTAAAAGCCATGATTTCAAGGAAACCTTCTCCAAATTCTCAGATCAGTACAGCCCTTCTCACCTTCTTACCTCCACTCTCCTCCTAGAACCCATCTCTCAGATGACTCATTGCAGTTGTAATGATATTTATCTGTGGGTAGTTCTTACAAGGTGACTTCTGGAGAGCATCATTTAAATCCCCCCCACCATGCAGCTAATTACTCTATTCCACAACCCCTAAGGGCCACTTTCCTAAAACTTTGGGTAGAGGAATGCAAAAATAAGTATGTCCCTGAGGATTTCAAGGTGAAATATCTATACTGGTATTTTAGCAAACTATGTGTTGACAGCAAACACCAAATAATTAATCTTATTATTGACCTTGCCCCACTGTATCATCATTATCCATTTACATATCTTTCTCCTTTTAGGCTAATATATCTTGTGAGTTGAGGCAAGGGCCAGGTCTTATCCACCTTTTTGTTTCAAGGACCTAACACAGTGCCAGTTATATGATGGGCTCTCAGATAATACTCAATTGATTGAACCATGTGAAGTGACTCGCAACCACTGGCCATTTATTATTAGAGAAATAATTATAATAACTAGCTTGCCAGAAGTGTTCTTAGGAGTGTCTGTAGAACTACTGGGTGTTCTTAGTAACTGTCCGAAAGTAACAGTTTTAATTCGCACAACTATTCCTCTTTTAAAGGTGAGGAGACTGAGACACATGAAATAATTTGTCATTACATACACTCAGTTCAGTTCAGTTCAGTAGCTCAGTCCTATCTGACTCTTTGTGACCCCATGGACTGCAACATGACAGGCTTCCCTGTCCACCATCAACTCCCAGAGCTTGCTCAAACTCATGTCCATCGAGTCAGTGATGCCATCCAACCATCTAATCCTCTGCCATCCCCTTTACATTATGCTGTGTAAAATAGATAGCTAGTGGGAAGCTGCTGTATAACACAAGGAGCTCAGCTCAGTGTCCTGTGATGATCTGGAGGGGTGG